TAATCTGCTCTAAAGGCACTACAGCCCAACAGCAAACAATAAATAGAAGATGAAAGAATATTTAGTCCCATATTTCAAATGCCGATATCTGGATTTTATGTTATACACAAATACAGTGGGCTCCAAAAGTCTGAGAGCACTAACGAGGAAAAATCTTTAATCTATATTATAATATTTGAGTGAAAAAGTTAAATAATTTAATAAATTATTTTCAGAGCAAATTACAAATTTTCTCTTATGTTCACCAAGGGTGCATTTATTTGAAAGATTCATACTGTATTTATTCAGTATAGTAAAATTGTGGAAATATTATTGCAATTTAAAGTAACCGTTTTCTATTTTAATATATTTTAAAATGTAATTTATTCTTGTCATGGAAAAGCTGAATTTTCAGCATCATTACTTAAGTTTTCAGTGTCACACGATCTTTCAGAAATCATTCTAATGTCCCTAATTTGCTTAATATTTTTGTGGAAACAGTGATACATTTCCCCCCCCCCATGATTCCTCGCTGAATATAAAGTTCAAAAGAACAGCATTTCTTTGAAATGATGCATCCTCGCTGAAGAAAAAAAACAAACAATCAAATTTTGGAACGTATATAACACGTGAAAAAGTGAACAAAAAGTATTTAAAGAGTTGAATGAATGCCATTTAGATTTGATCTGTGTCAAATTAATAACCACAGCGTTGAGCTTTTCAAAACAGTTTGCTCCAAACAACATTGTGTCATCAGTTCTGCAAAAGCATCCATGCCTGGCTGTTTTTGCTTTAAGATGATGAATGGTGTAAACAGGCGTAGTTACTGATAAAACAAGCCTGAAACCAAAATAAGCTGTATGCGGACATTAAATGGCTCAAAGGAAGTATCCCGTTATCCCTAACTCAATAACAGCGAATTAACAGCTTCCTGTTGCACCTTGTTTTTCCTTTCAAAACAGTCAATGAACATACGCAAAGAAGAAGACCACCAAGTTTTTTCAAACCGACACTGAATTTCCTGTAAGCTCAAAGCTAATGTGACCGCCTCAGTCCAGACGGCTCTTTCCATCGCACTCCTCACATCCTCGCGCATGACCGACACCGAGCTTAACCGCTGCACAGCATGGCTACCAAAGCCACATGTACCCTAAACACTCCTGTGAATGGAAACCATACAACAACAGTTATGGCTTCAAAAAGCATTTTCCTTTGGCTTTTGTTCAGTTATAGGTAGAAAATGCAGATGGACAAAACAACTTAGCAGAAATCAGCACCTAAACGAATGAATTAACTGTCTCTGTTAGCACTGAACAAAGAAGGACTTGTTGAATTATCTAACAATGCCATGAACCTAATTGCGAGGGGATGTGTCTCCTAAAATAGATAGAAAAAAATCCACAATTAAACTAGGAGAGAAGAAAGCCCGATTGTGGTTTCTATTTTTACAGAGTGCCAGCTCTGAAGGATGTGTACTTCTCTAGTTCCTTCCCTAAATCAGAGAGTTGTCACAGGAGACAATTGCCAGTCTACTGTTGTGGCTACTGCTCTGCAGCTTTTCTTATCAATCATTTATTTCTGCCGCCTCCGTTCACGCTCATGGACCCAAAATTGAACAAAACCGACGGAAAAGCAAACGGAAAGTGACGCTGATAGCCTTTTCTCTTTTCGTGTCTGATAACTAATCATAGCGGAAAAGGATTTAAAAGTGTGACAACCACAAAAACTATTTTGCTGATTTTACGCTGACGTAAAATGTAGTTTCCTTGAGAAGGAAAATGCAGAAAATGTTATGTATTTGTAGAAATCCTATTGTCTTTACATTGTTTAGCAAATCAACAAGTGCAACAGTTTGGGGCTTGTAAGATTTTTTTTTATTTACTTTTTTTTTTAGATTTTACCCTTTTTAGCCTTTTCTCTTTTCGTGTCTGATAACTAATCATAGCGGAAAAGGATTTAAAAGTGTGACAACCACAAAAACTATTTTGCTGATTTTACGCTGACGTAAAATGTAGTTTCCTTGAGAAGGAAAATGCAGAAAATGTTATGTATTTGTAGAAATCCTATTGTCTTTACATTGTTTAGCAAATCAACAAGTGCAACAGTTTGGGGCTTGTAAGATTTTTTTTTATTTACTTTTTTTTTTAGATTTTACCTTTTTTTTTTTTTTTTTTTTATACTTTTATTCAGCAAAGGTTAATCGAAATTAATTAAAACTAACAGTAAACACTTACATAAAAAAATACCATTCCAAATAAATGCTGTTCTTTTGAAGAAAAAAATATACTGCATAATGCTTTACACAAAAATATTAATCAGCACAACTGTTTTCAACATTGATAATAATAATAAATGTTTCTTGAGCACCAAATCAGCATGTTACAATGATTTATGATGGTTCATGTGACTGATGAAAATTCAGCTTTACCATCACAGGAATAAATTAAATTTTAAAATATGCCAAAACAGAAACAGTTGTTTTAAAATGTAATAATATTCCACAGTATGACTGTTTCACTGTATTTTCAATCAAATAAATACAGCTAATTGTAATTTAAATTGATTAAAATAATTAAGAAATAATTTTGCTGCAATTCAGTTTATTAAAGAAATGTGTCATTAGTAAAACAAATGTTTTATTATCATAAGTTAGGAAAGGTGAATGTTAAAAGTGTGACTGTAGTGCACTGAAATATGTTTAAAAATATATTAAGAGAACAAGAAATAAAACTGAATGACTGGTTTGAAAATAAAGCAAACATCTCCGGCAGGATATGCGAGTGGCTCAAGCATTCCAGCTCCAAGTATGAGCCCATAGGAGAGGCCCTCGGGGACCACGCAAAAGTGCAGACCACTTTGTCTCCCTTTCTCCCCCACACCGTTTCATCTTAATTCAAAAGCCACATCCTGCTATCCTCCCATCTTTTGGCTTAAGGAATTATGGAATGATCCTTGAGGTTATAAAATCCGGACAGTCCAAGGTTTGCCTCCAAGGCATACGAACTGCCTCAGACTTCTGTTTCTTAGATTCCCCCATCCTGTTCCCAGTACAAAAAAATGTCACCTCAGAACCCTGTTGTCAAAGTGTCTCATCGGGCTGAAGCAGATAGGACTAATTGTTGACAGGTGCTTCTAATGCCTGGCTTTGAAAAGTGAGTCTGATTTACGACAGGGCTTCTGAGGCCCACTTTCATGGCTGCTGGTAACCATCCCTACACGGGACGCCAAACATTCCGGCCCTGTGATGTCACAGCTTTGCTCAACTCAAAGTGAACAAAAGTTATTTATATTGTCTTTAAGACAGTCAAAAGTCACTCAAATTAATTATATGATTATATTAAAGAAGAGGAAGAAGAAGGAGAATATAATAAATTATATATATCAAAAAATATATATTTTTGTATATATACAGTGATGGCCAAAATTATTAGAGCAAAAAATGCTTTTTATTTTTTTTTTATTAGGGAAAAAAAAAAGCTTTTAAGTCAGTTATTTCTATCTTTTGCTGTAGTGTGCCAGTAGGAAATATCAGTTTACATTTCCAAACATTCATTTTGCCATTAATTATAATAATCCAGTGAGATTTTTGTTTGCACAAGGAGTCTGACAACAGCCAGTGCTCCACACAGAGATCTGATCTCATCATCATCCAGTCTGTCTGGAATGACATGAAGAAACAGAACAAACTGAGACAGACTAAATCCAGAAGAACTGTGGCAACGTCTCCAATATGCTTCAAGAGACCTCCCTACAGCAAAAGACAGAAATAACTGACTTAAAACCATTTTTCAGCTGGTGAAAATACTAGTGTTCTAATAATTTTGGCCACCACTGTAGGTTTAAAAGTTTACATTTTTACTTTAAAAATGTGGCACTTATACACTGTTAAACAAGCAAAATGCAATGCAGCAGTCAAATAGATTATTTTAATGCTTAGATCTGTATTCAGATCTGGATAAAAGCAGCTTCTAAAAATATTACATTAAATTAATAATAAATAAATAAATAATAGTAAATTATATTTATATAGTCCATAAGATTTCAATTTTAACTTTAAAAATGTGGTGATGCTGAAAATCAGCAAGACGTAATGCAGTAGCCAAAACAGATTATTTTGATACATTATTCTGAGGCTTCTAAATTTTATAAATAAATAAATATTGTTTACATTTACTGATTTACATTTACTTTACTTAATTTAGTCAACTATTTTTTGAAGCGTCAGTATAGTGTCATTTGATATATGACTTTGGGTGACAGAGAAAGTGAGGCTCTCTTGAGCCCTTTGGGAAGCTCTGCAAACACCCCGCGGCTGACTGGAGTCTCCTGTGTCCGTATCAGCGGGGTGCTTTCGGTGAGCACGTGGGTATTGATTAATCAGACCTCTGCTTTATGGAGTAGGGAGTGCTGATGGGCAAACAACACTGACAGGCGTGCCAGCTCCTGTGGCAATCAGCATAGAAATGAGAAGTGTGTGTGTGTGTGTGCGGGTGGGTGAGTGGGTGTGTATGTACGTAACAGTCAGACGTGGTCTGTATAAGTGTTTGCAGCCAGGGACAGTGTTTGACAAACATCACAGTGTTGTGACAGAGGTCAACAGGCTCAATCACAAGGTCTGGTAGGGTGACTCAATTAACCCCTGAATGGCCAGGATCTACATGCTCCATTTCAAATTCTAGTAAGATGGCTATTAGCTTAGTGACAATGAATTCAAGAAACGTAAATGCATGAAAAATGTAAATATTACATATTAGAATTTCTATTTAATTTAATATGTTACTAAAAATATATAAAAAATAGTCCAGAGTAATTAAAGGGGTCATATGATGCTGCTAAAAAGAACATTATTTTGTGTATTTGGTGTAATGAAATAATTGCATCATATGACCCCTTTAATTAAAAATTGACAATTTTCCATCTCAGTAGGTTTTCAACAGAACGACTAGTGTTACTAACTTATGAACGATTGCAGAAGTGCAAGAGGTGCATAATGTTTCCCAAAAAAAAAAGTGTTTGCTAACCATGTAGTGGTGATCCAGATGGGCTACTAGAGAGGCCAGGAATGGGGCTACACCGGCCGCCCTGTTTGCTGCTCAGCTCTTGCTCGATCTCCTCCAGTCCAGCACTCTTCTGGAAACGGCTCATGCGATTGACCACACGTGGAGACATGTGCGTGCGTGCACATGGCGCTCCACCATACGGATTGATGGGAAAGACATGAGAGGTACCACGAAGAGTACTGATCACCACCCAGCGGCAGTCATGGCTGAAGCAGATGTCCTGCACCTAGAGCAAGGGTAAGAGAAGACAAAGGAAAGAAGCTTTCAGCTTTGAGTTGGTTCAGATTTTAAAATGAACAATCACCATTAAAATGTATGAAATCACCATTACAGGAGTGTAGGGTCTTGAGTAAACAGCATGAACAATACAGTAATGCCTTTCCTTCAAAATGTGGCTTAAAGTCAGAATGTAACAGAGGTAGCGGATCTTCTTTTGTATTGGGACATTATCATTCTTTGCTTGGTTGGAACAGCAGCTAGACTAATTTTTTTCCCTATTTGCTTTTCCGTTTCTGCCATGGGATGACTGAACACCTGAGAAGAGATGATGCCAACCCCTCCAAGGATGATGACAACCCTGAACCAAGATACAAAACTACCGAATTTTTCTATAAGTTTGATCACAACATATAATCATTGCTGTTAATAGTGTTCACCGTTTCTTTGAATTCATGTCATTAACTAATTGCATGATTTTTACTGTGCATTTCTGCTAAATGGACATCACCTTGACATAGTCACCACTGATAAACTACTCCTAAATGTAATGTAGAAACTTTCATTTTCTGTAAAGCTGCTTTGTTTGCAACGATTTGTATCATGAAAAGCACTATACAAATAAACATGAATGTAAAAAAAAAATGTAGTGTGGACTTGGTTCTATCCATTGGTTGTTGATTGGATGAAAGCAGATCTGAAAGCAAGCTTTCAGTGGAAGAGGAGGACTAAATTACTGCAGAAGTCTGCCACACATCAACAGAGTAATATTTGAATTAAAATTACTAGGATAAAAACATATACATATACACACACACACACACACACACACGTGTTAAATGGATAAAAAGTGATAGTAAAGACTTATATTGTTAGAAAAGATTTCAATTTTGAATAAATGCTATTCTTTTTAACTATTTATACTATTTATTCATCAAAGAATCAAAAAAGTATCACAGGTTCCAAAAAAATATTAAGCAGCACAACAGTTTCAACACTAATAATAAATCAGCATATTAGAAGGATTTCTGAAGGATCATGTGACACTGAAGACTGGAGTAATGGCTGATGAAAATTCAGCTTTGCTTCACAGAAATAAATTATATTTAAAAGTATATTAAAATAGAAAACCAATATTAGAAATTGCAATATTATTTCATAATATTACTGTTTTTTCTGTATTTTTGATCAAATAAATACAGCCTTAATGAGCAAAAGAGACTCCATTAAAAAACATTAAAAATCTTACTGATCCCAAACTTTTGAATGGCAGTGTGTACATATTAAAAAATGAAATGTATGCATGGATGAATCATTCACAATAATATCAATAACATGCATTTAGTTTTAATTTCATTGCAACTTTAAGGAATGCAACCTGACTTCTGTATGCATTTTCTCTGGTGCTAGTCATAAGAAAGTTTCTGCCAAAGATAAACAGAAAAAATCTCTAAAAAATGTGTTACGAAGCGCTTGAGAGGAATGAGAAAGAGGTGTTTATAATCACGCCTAGGCGCTGGGAAGAGGTTTTGGAACTGATCACCAGATCTTGGGTAATGGCATGAAAAACCTGAATATCTAACCTGGCTTTTGTATTTAAACATCTTAAAATAGATGAACCATGAAACTGCAACAGTGTGTCCCGTGCTTCTTGTGTTTACCACTCTTATGTTCAGTCTAGGCTATTTTTAAATTGTTGGTCTGTGTATACATGCATCAGATGGCCGTAGAATCACACCGTTTTCAGCATCTTGCGTCATGAGCATAGTTTTACATGACAGCGTCTTGAAATACTATTCTGTTTTTGAATACAAGAACGTGCCCTATGTGAATGAAGCTCTATGAAACTGATGGTAGACCTTCTCCAAGACATGGTCCAGAGACCATACACTTGGCTTTACCATACAGCACTCTGCCGTCAGCAAGGTTCAGCTAATGGCTTTTTTACGGCTCTTTTTATGGATAGCCATCAGCTACTGGAATGCAGCTGTCTGGAGTTCTGTCTGATTCTAGGTCATTCTGCTCTATCTGTCTCAGATCAGTCTCACGCTGAATACGCCAACTCAGAGATGAGCAAATGAATTAAGATCAATGACCATTTCCTGTTCGGGGACGACACCACTCCAGAGATTTTCACCTGGAGGTGTACAAATAAGATTTAGGTGACCAAAGACAAGGACTGAGATCTATAAATTAGTTAATCAGACATAAATCAAATGAGCTGTTTGGTCAGTCATGTGCTGCTCAGAACAGCTAAAACGGTGTATGGCTTTAGGCAACGCAGCCTGGTGGGTTATTTACCTTCACGCACACTAAGGTCAGTCCGGAGCAGGCTGGGAGTCAGTACAAGCACAGTCAATCAGCCAGTCAGATAAGGCCGGGTGCCTGCGCCCGCCCACAAGGCATTATCACTCCTTTTATTTGTTCTGCTCAAGATAATGCGTCTTGGAGGGTGCTTGCTTTCTGCAGTTTGTGCTGTTTACAATGCCAGATCAAAGCCAACGCATGGCCAGGCAGCAAACCTGGCATGAGTCGGTGACAGATTAACCACCTTTCTCATCTCAGCGGAGCTGCAGGCCACCTCGGCCCTGTGCTCACAGAGGAGGGAAAATGAGAATGTTTTACACGCTCGGTTCCAGCTCTTTGCCACGCCTGGAGGTGCCGGGTAAAGTAATCACACCTTCAATATAAGGAGCAGGAACGAGAAGAACTTAAGCTTCACCCACGGACCAGTAACCAGCCTGCAATTCGGCCTTTTTCACCTGGCTCAGAGTGCACTTGAAGGGTAAAGGGACAAAGAGAATTGGGAAAACATAAAAAAGGAAGAAAAAAAAAAACATACACTAATGGGCTTAATAAATAAGTGCAATAGGAGTTAAAAACGACAAGTCTTTCTTATAGACATAACACTTGACTGTGCTTCAGTTACATGGCACTCATATGCGAATAAGGTACAGTTTTTCTTCCACTGCAGTGTTAATATTTGTCATGTAATGAAGGATTTAAATTGGGAGAAATATGTCTGGCATGCTTTTAGACATCGAACGTGTCAGGGAGACTGCGAGAGTGTGAGTCTATGAACTAGAGCAGAGATCAGGTTTGTGTGCATATCCAAACATGACACTGGCCGAGTAAGTAAGGGTCTAGGCCCTTTCGGAATAAATATTAGTTCTACTTAAGCAAATAAAACCTTACGATTTGCTAACTGAAGGAGATATTGTTGTGGAACAGCTGCAAGGCTAAATGGATGAAACAGCATTTAGAAGAGAGGAAAACTAAATCACTGCAGTTATTTCCCAAACTGATTTGTGCAATAACCCAATAGATCACAAAAGTAAATTAAACTTTAAAGCACCCAGATAGATTACCAAGGCTTGGCAGACGCTAATGATCAGATCATGTCCTTAGATGTCCGCTTCAACTATTCAACCCGAGTAACGTTACATAAATACAAAAAAGCATGTGGATTTGACCATCTTGTTTTGGTTTAAAATATTAACATACATAAACAAACAAAAATAAATGGATTGGAGAATGATCAATATGTTTGATCAAATATATTTTGAGTAAATAAAAATAATACAAAATAGAATATCTATTAAAGTGAAAAAAATAATTAAATTAAATTAAAATGATATACAGACCAAATCAATTTAAAGAATAAAATAAAATAAAATATAAAATAAAATAAAAATCAAGTGACTTGAATAGAGATGTGCTGTTACTTCTCCAAGCAATCAAACCTGCCAGGTGATATTAACGATTCTAGTTTTCACAGCAGTAAAGAAGTAATTGTGTTCTAGTTGTAAATTGTAAACTATATTTTACTACGCTTAAGTGGGGCAAAAATGCAACAAACATCTGGCTAAATGGATGGACAAATTACAAAGCCCAATTCTGTTTCAAATAACACCATTAGTTGTTCTACATTCGTAATTTATAAAGCTGGGATGAAATGGGAAAATTACGGAGACTATATTCAGTTCTGCCAAGGGCCTATTTCCCGGGATTTAAGAGAGAGTGGTGTAAAGTCACAAGCGCGACCATATTGTCCCAGTGGGAATATCCTCTCGTCCATGACCTCATAGCCTAAGATATCATAGGTGTTACAAGCCCCAAGCTTGAGCCCCAAGCTTGACCCCAAGCAAGAGTAAAAGCTCCGGTCAGGAGCATAATCTAAGCTCTCACCAGCCGTCGGAGGTATTTTTAGCAACTTTTCTCTTTTTTTTTGCAGCCTTGGTGATTGAAAACACATTGGAAACACTAATAGTTTCAGGTCTTCGGATTCCAGAGTGTTGAAAACTGAACATGGGAGCCACAGGGGAGGAAGTTTTAGAATAAGCAAAGACTAACTGCTGAGAGCACAAATATTTCACGTGGATCCACGTAAATTTGTTTTGAACTGGGGGCAAAAGTTCTCCAGGTACAAAAAAATTCATGTGCTGTGACTATGGAAAAGCCCTGATGCTCTTAACCTTTAGTTGGTGGACAGTTGAACAGTAACTAGATCTTCAGATTACAGTTACACTCATATTTTTCATGTATACTGCAGTAGCAAGGGACTATGTATCTCATAGTCATGTTTAAGAACAATCAGATGGGTCATACCAGCACTTTTTGTCTAACATACACTGCCCTACATACTACAAAAAAGCCAGAGACAACAGAACCGTGTTCTGGAGCTCAGTGGTACCAAGTCTTATGTCTCTTGACAGTATTTAGAAAACATGCAGGGATTCACCGACGATGAAAAGCATGTTCAAATTGCACATTTCTAGAGCCATACAAGCACAGGCAACCGTAAACAGTTGTGGGTGGCCCACAAAGACTTTAAATGATTATGCTAATGATTAAAAGAGTCCGGAAAGGCAATATTTCATCTCAATAACTCCCCCGAAAATAGCCTGAGTGTACATAGGCATGTGCGTGTGAGCAAGGGATGGAACGAGGAGCTTTGAAGTTTGAATTAATATCCCACACTGTCCATGTATTACTTGAATGCAAGACAGTTTCTTTTTGTTGTTGATACATCTTCCATTTGGAGGATACATGTTTATGAGTTTGTACCATATGTGCTGCTAAAGGACAGTGCTGAAAGTAAGGAAAAGCTTTTATGTAAATGTGTGTACATGTGTGTTCTTACCTTAGCCTCAGTCTCTCCTCTGTGAAGCGTGTATAGATGATGAACCGCACTCTGGGAAGATGCCCATGGGTGAGTCAAGATTTGGAAAACGTGGAAGTCATGGCCAAGGGTGTCTGCAGTCACCAGTAACATACCTGTAGATCAGAAAAAGAAAAGTGCCATTTATTTCACCATAGTGCACCTTCTTAGCACAACTAAAGTATTTGTGACACAGGAAGTGATGAATTAAGGGCTGTGATTAAAAAAGTGACATAACTAATCACAGTTTTCTGAGATGAACTGCAATTTATTGCAATGATAACATAAAAAAATCAAAAGTTTTGGAGCAGCATGATGAAAGGCACATACTTAAGAAAATATAGCAATAGAAATTGGGATAAAACATTAGCACAGCCTCAGGAAATGGAAAAAATATAATTTATATATAAGTGGAAAATAATATAATGCTTGATTAATATGGATCATTCAAAGCAACCAATGCAGCATTTATTTCCTGAGGCTACAGAAATGTTCCTCCATGCTTTTTAAGTTTTTAGGATTTTCCCAGCCCTAGTTAAATTTTCTTGGGGTTTACCATGTGGATTTGGGAACTGGTGATGGGATCAAAATTAATTCAGTCTTTCTGAATTGTGGCCTAGTAATAGTCCATGTTCATCTATCAATGAAAGTGGCAGGAAGTGCCACTCGAAATATATATATAAATCTCATTTGAACATTTACTTGCTTTAAGTGCACCAATTCTGGGCTTAAACTGAGAAGAACATACTGCAAGTCAAAAACGATGGCACCCAGACTGCCGTCAAGTACTGAGCATTTCATGAGACACGTTTACATGGTTGTAAAGGGTAATCGTACAATTTGTGTTCTAGAATTAACTGCATGCCAAGATCTTCCCTCAGCTGTCCGGGCCAGAGAGTATATGGATCTGTTTTAAACACAACCGCAGGAGAACCCAAGTGGAACCTCTGATGACAGGGCTTCTCATTTTCCCACTTTTATTTGAAGTTAGTGAAACTACAGAAAGTATAAGCTCTTACTGTAAACAACACACTTAAACCACACCAGAAAAAAAAAACCCTGAAGCGAACCTTCATGGCAACGCAATGCCGCATACAACTTATTCCTAAAAACAGTGTGACAGCTCTACAGGCTATTTTCCACACACATGAAAGTCTGGTCACTACCGCTTTGGAAAGTTTCTCCAACACTACGATTAAGATGGATTTAGCCGCTGGCTCTCGATCTCACTGTTGTAATTTAAGATGACAATAATTAGTGATTTTCCAATGCTGAATCTCTAATGCCGAGTTCACAGAGGGGTTTAATTTGTGGCGAGCATTTATTGGGTGGTCTGACAAATCTAAAAAGGAGGATATCGTCGGAAGATCAGACGAACTCCTGCACACATGACAATGGAACAGCGGCTGTCCTAGATGAGCTCATCTGTCCTATTTCTGCCCGCGTTATTTTCGTTTTCACACTTAGGAATAGCATCTACTTTAGGTGTGGCTTTGCCATCTCATTGAGCGTTAAGACAGGAAGCAAGGGGGATGGGTTGTGGCAGCGAAGGAAGGGTCACGCTGAGATTGCGCCTACGAAAAAGAAAAACAGAGTCGACCAGTGAATTAGACAGCGGTTAGCTATTTATGCTGTATCAGAAGACTAAACCAAGTTACGGCCTGGCCATAAACTAACCCACGCCCCAAATGAGGTGCCAAGCCACAAGAAGCATTTGCGTCAACTGGGAATACATGGAAGAGAGTGCCTTCTAATTATAGAGGTTACAAACGGAAGCGCAGAGTGATTAGGAGTTTAGGCGCTGCGGTATGTTTATCTGGGAGCTTCCTATCCCTCACCCCGCCGCTCTCGCGCTCACCCTGGCTTTGACAGATGAGGCCTGGCCAGCTTGTTGGGACACAAGTTTGCTGATGGTACACTCTGTTCTCCAAAAGCCAGTGGAGAATGGAAACCGAGCGCTGGGGCTTTTGTGGCCTTGTTGAAATACAGGGCCTCGCAAAGAGGCGTCAGTTGGTTAGCCTGTGGGAAGCTAAATTAAAAAGAGAGCTTCTCTGTGCTGGTAAGCAGCCATAAAATGTTAAGGAACCTGAGATGTTAAAGCAATTTTTGACACATCCTATTTATAACACCTCGACGTCAAGGCAAAAGAGTAATTTATGACTTTTAACGAGAAATTATGTGAGTAAATGGGGATTTTGTGTATTTGAGCTACCCAACGGACCAATGAACCAAGCTGTATCTTAATTCATAATGGGAAATGCAGTATTCAAAAAGCATTAGTGTCTAATTCTGTGGGTGAGTGTTTTAGTCATCGCAGTAAAACAATGCTCTTTAGCTTAAAAAGTCATTGCTCGGCTACAAAATGGGTGCACTGCAAGAATAGTGTCCCAACAAAGTCTTGATTCCTGCTCTAACTGTATATATATATATATATATATATATAAAAACTCACGCACTAAATTTTTTGAATACTGAACAAATTTTGATGCACTTTGAAATGGTGCCCTGTGAAAACAAAACAAAGAATAAAACGCAGCATTGTAACATCTGAAGTCCCCATTTGGGAACAATGCAAATGATCTACAGGTCTGAAATTACCCTAAAATCCAATTTTAAAAATGCATGTAAATATTGTGTTTGTCGATTTGTATTTCAAAGCTTTTAAAATGTTAAATCATCAAAAGCAGTTTACTTCTGCAAGTTAGGACGGTCTGCGTTTATATGAACTGCGAAACACATCGCAGACAAAAAGTAATCCAGATTATCCTTTCAAGCTGATTTGGCTGTTTCTCGCTAAAAGGCACCCCAAACAAACCGGTATTCGACACCAAAAATTGTAGAGTAATTCTTCATACTTGCATTCATCATTTTGTTGTTCTCCCCTTAACAAGTCTTTAAACAAAAAACATCTGCGAAACCTCCTCACAGCCATGCTTTATTTCAAAAGTGTCTTAGCCATTCTCCCCGACCAACTCGATGATCTCAGCAGCCTGACAAGCAGAGGCCTCCAACTTGGCAAAGTCGGAAAACTGAAACAAAAGTATCCCTTTCAAATTAACAACACTCGTCTAAGACCTTTGAAAAAGAGGAAATCTCAAATTATAAACATGTGGATAAACCTTTAAAGGGCGGACACTGGGAATCGGTGCGCTCTAATACCGCAGACACAAACTTTATGCAAAGAAAAAAAAAAAGAACAAATAAACACATCAATCTCAGCATTTTGTCCTTGTGGCTGCCCACATTAGTTGTAAAAGCACGACCGTGCGTGCATGTGTGTTTGTGGTCCTTTGTGAGTCCATTGGACGGCATCCTCTCCTGTCATGCTGCACTTGTGGAGGTGTTTATGAAAGCTGTGGAACACACACACACACACACACACACACACACATACATACATACATACACAGGGTTGCACATCTCACATCAAAGCCGCCCACTCAAGCCTGGAGCGAGCAACACTCACTTAGTCCGGAGGCCACCCTCACTCCAACCATCAGATAACAGTACTAAAGAGAGGAGGAGACCGGCATGGGTCAACATGCAGTCAATAACTTGTTAATCTTTTACAGACTAAGTGAGAACTTCTAAAAGCTGGGCTGTTTGATCCAACCTGGAGGCGGCTTGTGTTTGTGTGTGTGTGTGGAGTCGAGGACGGGGTGGCAGATTGGGGCCTGGCGCGGTGACTGTGCAGTGTTTCGTGGTGAGCCGGGCAGATGTAATGCCGTCTCCAGTTTCCATTCCTCTGGCCGGCAGGGATGACTGCTGCGGATTCCAGAGGGGGCTTGCGAGCACGTTTCACAGCATCGTGCGGCCAGGGACACTGTTTATCTAGGCACGTTGGTACCAAGGATATGCTCTTTAAACATGGTACACTGCTCCTGTGGGCATGCTGGCTTGGAGAGGCACTCAAAGCTCTTAGCTACGAAACCACATCCACAATTCAATTGAGAGCTTTGAGGAAGGGAGGGGAAAAAAGTAGGTGGGAGGAAAAAGGTGCCCACGGTTCATTTGATCCACATTCAAGTGTAACGAAGGAGAATGTTTATGTATTTGCTTTACAGCCAAACCACCTGTAAGCGCTTGAATATTAATAGATCATAAAGGCCTTTTCTCGGCAGGAGGCAATCATTACTTTAATACAACACTTCAACGAAATTCACCTTCTAGAGAAACGGCGTAACCAAGGTGACCACGAGGTCACGTCCATTAAGGAAGGATGGATGTGGAGGTTATCACTAGGCCCACACGGAATCTGCACACTTTTTTACTCACATTTCCTGAGCTGATTTTGGAGGAAATTCTGTCTAATAATAGGCATCAGACTTTCCCGGGATAAGTCGTATACAGTCGTGGTCAGAATTATTGGCACCCTTGGTAAATATGATCAAAGAAGGCTGTGAAAATAAATCTGCATTGTTAATCATTTTGATCTTTTATTTTTTTAAAATTCACAAATATCTAACCTTTCATTGAACTAAAACAATTGAAAATGGGGGAAAATCTTGTGTGTGTGGGGGTGTGTGTTTGTATATCTTCATGTTATTATTAGAGGTGGTGTTTTATTGTTTAATTAAGAGATGATTTCCATATATGTGCGGCCACTGAGTTCTGGAGAGAAAACCAAAGTTTACTCTCTGAGACTGAGTTAATAAAAGTCGCCCAAGACAAAATTATTTTCTTTAGTAATAATTTTGTATGATTAGATTTACTCAATATTATTTACACCAGTCAGATTACCATTCTCACAATATGCCGTAGTCCAAATGACAACATTATATACGATGCAAAAAAAAAAAACATCGCATGTGGCATTTGCCAAGTGTTAATTGTGAACACTGCCTTGTTATCCTCAGCTAACTATTTATGCAGCCATGAAATCGCTCTTGTAGGTTCTTTCTGTGGATCTGTCTACGGCCACAAAATGCAGTTGATGCTTGACAGCAGTACAAATCTATTTTACGCTCAGCGGTGGAAAAGCACAGTCGCCTTGAAAAGCTTAGTCAGCCTAAAACAGGCCTTTGTGTGATTTTTGAAAGCCCCAAATAAATTGGCTAAACCGCAATCTCTAGATAAGAGTCTGGCTGCAAAAAGGAGGAGTATGGAAAGAGAGTAA